ACAATAAAAAAAAAAAAAAGTCCCAAAATGTTTTGTTTCACTGTTACTTCACTTTGTTAAGGTCCTCCTTCTGCATTTGCGTTCTTTTGCTGGTGTTCCAAGGCAATCTTTACCCCATACACATCCATCTCCTCCAGCCGTGACCTTCCACTCCTCCTCAACAGATCAATCCTAGGCCGAAGTCGGGATAACAGAGATACACAGAATGGATAGTCAGGCCAAAGTCTAGGATAACAGAGTGTGGCGGAAGCCACCTCGCCACTGGACATTGGAGAGGCCTGGCTGCCCACCTCCTACCTGCTGACTATGGCCCCTGGTAAATTTGTACTTTTGAATGCAATATTTGGGCATGTGGTATTTTATATTGCTGCTACTGGCCCTTTAAGGGCCATCCGTGGGCATATTGTGACTTTTAGGAACAATGCCTTTAAGACCGTGTAGCAGATTGCATTCAGGCTGTCTTTAATATTATGTATGTTCCTGTGTGCCCGGCTAAATTGTTATGTGTATGCAGCATTTCTTCTGATTGTTCGGTAGAATCACTCCATTCATTATATTGAGTGAAACTACCGAACAACCAGACCACCCAGGAATAAGTGTGCCTCCAATTACTTGTTTGCAACAATGTTGCAAACGGGTAATTGGCAATCTGTGTAATGTGTTCTTTGTCCTCTGGGTGGCCGCCATTCGGGAAACGAACACGTGGCGGCAGCCATCTTAAACTCCAGAACAGCGGTGTTTTGGAAATAACTTCGGACACTCGACTAGGCAAACACCGCTGAGACCTCCAGACTTCCAGCAATTCGTGCAGGAACTAGAGAGGATCCCACGAACAAGGGGATTCTTACGAATCCTCCCCAAGCTCCATAACCCAGTTAATTTGTGTGTTTCATTCCCTTTTCTGTGACCGACCGCAGGGCCAAAACACATGGAACTATTTTCGGATACTTTATCCATGCGGTCGGTCAAATCTTTACCTGCCCATAACTCCCGAACCCCTGGTCTGATCTGGGTGTTTTTTGGATATGTTCCTCACCCAGATCAGGACTATCAGGGGGTACCATATTTAAAGGTGTACCCCCCATATTTGGGGTACATCCAAGAATTGGGGAAAAGTGTGTACTGTATAATTATGTTAAGTGTTAATCTAAGGGGAGGAGATGTGTGGGAGGTAACAGGTATGGGATTGGCGGTTGTACTAATTATTGTAAATCCCTCCCTTGCATGGGAGAATGTCTTAAAAGGAGGTGGTGTGAATAAATCTTGAATGAAGTGTCATCTCATTGTTGGGGAAGGATTTATTGTATGCTGTTCCAGTTTGAGTGCTAGGAGTCTAAACCCATCCGTATGGTTTTTGCCTATTCAGCTGTTTATAGCATTCATATGCTTGAGAGAAGGTATACGCTTCTCCGGTTCGGTGATTGTGGTGTCTGCCAGAGTGCTTGGAGTCCTCAGGAAACGCTAGGAGCATCCTTTAACAGAGGTACCCAGTCGGGGTGCCAGGTGATCCGTTATACAGAGATACACAGAATGGATAGTCAGGCCAAAGTCTAGGATAACAGAGATACACAGAATGGATAGTCAGGCCGAAGTCTGGGATAACAGAGATACACAGAATGGATAGTCAGGCCGAGGTCGGGATAACAGAGATACACAGAATGGATAGTCAGGCCGAAGTCTAGGATAACAGAGATACACAGTATGGATATTCAGGCCGAAGTCTAGGATCACAGAGATACACAGAATGGATAGTCAGGCCGAAGTCTAGGATCACAGAGATACACAGAATGGATAGTCAGGCCGAAGTCTAGGATAACAGAGATACACAGTATGGATATTCAGGCCGAAGTCTAGGATCACAGAGATACACAGAATGGATAGTCAGGCCGAAGTCTAGGATCACAGAGATACACAGAATGGATAGTCAGGCCGAAGTCTAGGATAACAGAGATACACAGAATGGATAGTCAGGCCGAAGTCTAGGATCACAGAGATACACAGAATGGATAGTCAGGCCGAGTCGGGATAACAGAGATACACAGAATTGATAGGATTACAGAGATACACAGTGTGGCGAAAGTAACCTCGCCACTGGGTTTTGGAGAGGCCTGCTTGCCAGCCTCTTGCCCTGTGACTATGGCCCCTGGGGTGTATTGCCTTTTAAAAACACTATTTGTGCATATTGGGACTTGGCACAATGCCCCTTGGACTTTTAACTGGAACAGATTCAAACATGTGGCAGCGGCCATCTTAAATTGTCCAGCAGTGTTTTGTCGTCAAGTGTATGGAACTGTTTTGGTCATGGGACCATGTACACAGTGGGGCAAAAATAAGACTTCCAGGAAATTCCTGAACCCCTGAACCGATCTGGGTGATTTTTGGACATGTTGTTCACCCAGATCGGGGCTATCAGGGGATGTTGTGATATGTTGTATTTTGGGGTACTTTTTGGGGTTTTTAAAAATGTATGTTTTTTTCTACTTAGAGTTAATTTAGTTAGTCCATTGTCTTTGTTAATTGTATCACAGGCAGAGGGGAGGGAGAGATACAAAGAACGGATAGCCAGGCCGAAGGTCAGGAAAACAGAGATACACAGAACGGATAGTCAGGCTGAGGTCGGGATAACAGAGATACACAGAATGGATAGTCAGACCATGGTCAGGATAACAGAGATACGCAGAATGGATAGTTAGGCCAAGGTCTAGGGTAACAGAGATACACAGTCAGGCCGATGTCAGGATAAAACAGTGATACACAGAATGGATAGTCAGGCCGAGGTCAGGACAACGGAGATACACAGAATGGATAGTCAGGCTAACAGAGATACACAGAATGGATAGTCAGACCATGGTCAGGATAACAGAGATACGCAGAATGGATAGTTAGGCCAAGGTCTAGGGTAACAGAGATACACAGTCAGGCCGATGTCAGGATAAAACAGTGATACACAGAATGGATAGTCAGGCCGAGGTCAGGACAACGGAGATACACAGAATGGATAGTCAGGCCGAGGTCAAAATAACAGAGATACCCAGAATGGACAGTCAGACCGAGGTCAGGAAAACAGAGATACACAGAATGGATCATCAGGCCGAGGTCAGGATAACAGAGATACACAGAATGAATAGGCAGGTCGAGGTCAGGATAACATAGATACCTAGAATGGATAGTCAGGCCGAGGTCTAGGATAACAGACATACACAGAATGGATAGTCAGGCCATGGTCAGGATAACAGAGATACCCAGAATGGATAGTCAGGTCAAGGTCAGGATAACAGAGATACGCAGAATGAATAGGCAGGTCGAGGTCAGGATAACAGAGATACACAGAATGGATAGTCAGGCCGAGGTCTAGGATAACAGAGATACACAGAATGGATAGTCAGGCCGAGGTCGGGATAACAGAGATACACAGAATGGATAGTCAGACCGTGGTCAGGATAACAGAGATACGCAGAATGGATAGTTAGGCCAAGGTCTAGGGTAACAGAGATACACAGAAAGGATAGTCAGGCCGATGTCAGGATAAAACAGTGATACACAGAATGGATAGGCAGGCCAAGGTCAGGACAACGGAGATACACAGAATGGATAGTCAGACCATGTTCAGGATAACAGAGATACGCAGAATAGATAGTTAGGCCAAGGTCTAGGGTAACAGAGATACACAGAATAGATAGTCAGGCCGATGTCAGGATAAAACAGTGATACACAGACTGGATAGTCAGGCCGAGGTCAAGATAACAGAGATACACAGAATGGATAGTCAGGCCATGGTCAGGATAACAGAGATACCCAGAATGGATAGTCAGGTCGAGGTCATGATAACAGGGATACGCAGAATGAATAGGCAGGTCGAGGTCAGGATAACAGAGATACACAGAATGGATAGTCAGGCCAAGGTCTAGGATAACAGAGATACACAGAATGGATAGTCAGGCCGAGGTCAGGATAACAGAGATACACAGAATGAATAGGCAGGTCGAGGTCAGGATAACAGAGATACCCAGAATGGATAGTCAGGCCGAGGTCTAGGATAACAGAGATACACAGAATGGATAGTCAGACCATGGTCAGGATAACAGAGATATGCAGAATGGATAGGCAGGTCGAGGTCAGGATAACAGAGATACCCAGAATGGATAGTCAGGCCGAGGTCTAGGATAACAGAGAAACACAGAATGGATAGTCAGACCATGGTCAGGATAACAGAGATACACAGAATGGATAGTCAGGCCGAGGTCAGGATAACAGAGATACACATAATGGATAGTCAGACCATGGTCAGGATAACAGAGATACCCAGAATGGATAGTCATGCCAAGGTCAGGATTACAGAGATACACAGAATGGATAGTCAGACCGAGGTTAGGATAACAGAGATACACAGAATGGATAGTCAGGCCGAGGTCTAGGATAACAGAGATACACAGAATGGATCGTCAGGCCGAGGTCAGGATAACAGAGATACGCAGAATGAATAGGCAGGTCGAGGTCAGGATAACACCCAGAATGGATAGTCAGGCCGAGGTCTAGGATAACAGAGATACACAGAATGGATAGTCAGACCATGGTCAGGATAACAGAGATATGCAGAATGGATAGGCAGGTCGAGATCAGGATAACAGAGATACCCAGAATGGATAGTCAGGCCGAGGTCTAGGATAACAGAGAAACACAGAATGGATAGTCAGACCATGGTCAGGATAACAGAGATACACAGAATGGATAGTCAGGCCGAGGTCAGGATAACAGAGATACACATAATGGATAGTCAGACCATGGTCAGGATAACAGAGATACCCAGAATGGATAGTCAGGCCGAGGTCAGGATAACAGAGATACACATAATGGATAGTCAGACCATGGTCAGGATAACAGAGATACACAGAATGGATAGTCAGGCCGAGGTCAGGATAACAGAGATACACAGAATGGATAGTCAGGCCGAGGTCAGGATAACAGAGATACACAGAATGGATAGTCAGACCATGGTCAGGATAACAGAGATACACAGAATGGATAGTCAGGCCGAGGTCGGGATAACAGAGATACACAGAATGGACAGTCAGACCATGGTCAGGATAAGAGAGAGCAAGCATGGTCAAACAAGCCGAGTTCAGATAACAGTAAATACAATACCCAGTCTAAACACACTCCTAGGTAACAAGAACCACGACAGGGCAAGGAAATAAGTACAACCAGGAAGTATATACACCCTATACTGGTTCCAAAATCTATTTGTCTTGTAGAAAACATAATGTTTAGAGCTATTTACTAATCAGTGGGTTGTGATGAGATAAGTACAGCTTGGCTATGTGCCCCCACTGCATTGGGAAAGGAGTAAGGTGCTTTTTATGGCCTCCATTTAATCAGATTATCAAACTATTCAAAACATTTAGAAAAATTATCTACAGAAGTCACCAGTAAGCTCTATTGGAAGTTTTGTAGATCATTTGGAAGTTTTTTCTAACAAATGTGAATCATTTGGAAAATCTGTTAAATCCAAGGCCTATGTAATTCATGTCTATGTAAAATCCATGCCTATGTAAAATGTGGCCTACTTTAGATCACAGAGCTGTGGAATAGGTTATTGGCAACTACCACAAATGGCTCTACCTATTTCCCCAACTGACTCTACTTATTGCCCCAAATGGCTCTACTTATTACCCTATGTGATGGACCACCTGGCACTCCGCCAATCGATGCTCCTAGTGCTCACCGAGGAATTCCAGCACACCACCAGACATCATAAGCACTGCAGACCCCACTTCCAGCTGTGCCGGGGTCTCGCCGTCCTTCACCCACCCTGGACCCAAGACCAGGATCCAGCTTCCAGTGGGTAGACCTCTCCTACTCCCAGAGAGCGTACCAGGAACAGCTCTTATAAGAGCTAGTAATTATAATTCCTGGGGAGTATAGTGATTATAGCAATCCCCAGGATAGATACAAAGTGAATAAACCAATAAAAACCGAGTCATACAGTGAGACACTCCCATACACAAACAATGGAATCCCACCTCTGTGCTTGGGAGATAATTGAATTAGGAACTGTACTAATCTAACCCAATTATCTCCAAGCACAGAAAAAAATAAAATTTTATGAAACCCCAAAAAGTACCTTAAAAAAAAACAGAAAAAAAAAAACATAGCCCCGATCTGGGTGAACAACATATCCAAAAATCACCCAGATCGGTTCAGGAAAGTCATAGTTTTGACCGACTGTGCACATGGTCCTATGCCCAAAACAGTTCCAGGGAAATCAGTGCTAACAGTCGGTCAAGTTTGGTAGTCTTTTACAGGTTTCCCTGCAGGGCCCATGGTCTGTGGGCAGGAGGCTGGCAAGCAGGCCCCTCTAAGTACAAGTGACGAGGTTACTTTCGTCACACCCTACCTGGCTCTACTTATTACCACACCTGACTCTACTTATTACCCCACCTGGCTCTACGTATTACCCCACCTCGCTCTACTTATTACCCCAAATTGCTCTACTTATTATCCCAACTGGCTCTTCTTATCCCAAATGGTCTACTTATAACCCCAACTGTTTGTTTTTATTACCCTAAATGGCTCTACTTGTTACCCCAAATGGCTTTACTTATTACCCCACCTGACTCTTCTAATTACCCCAACTGGCTCTAACAATTATCTCAAATAGCTATTCACAGTGCCACAATTAAGCCCCAGGGGATATTTAGTGTCCTTTATCAATAATTGCCCATTAAACACACTTGTTTTCCTGGCACTATAGTGCCCTGAGGGTGCCCCCACCCTCAGGGACCCCCTCCCGCCGGGCTCTGGTGAGAGGAAGGAGTTAAACTTACCTCTTTCTCCAGTGCCGGGCGGGGAACTCTCCTCCTCCTCTCTGCCTCCTCTTCGGCTGAATGCGCATGCCCGGCAAGAGCTGCGCGCGCATTCAACCAGTCCATAGGAAAGCATTTCCTATGGACGCTGGCATCTTCTCACTGTGATTTTCACAGTGAGAAGCACGCAAGCGCCTCTAGCGGATGAAGTTACAATCCCATAATGTATGCAGGGAAATGTCTTCAGGGCTCTACCCACATGTTAACCTATCAATCTTAATATCATAGAACATATAATAAAGTTATTAAGTTCAGTGCAAACTCTGAGTCTATGGTTTGGAAATGCAGGAGATTTATGGTGTTTTTCATTATCTACTCTCAGGCCTTTCCACAGGTAATGTGCCATCATGTAAGTGTTCATTTTTTCTATGGCAAAACCAAAGCTCTAATTTAAGTTAATGATGGGCCACTGTCTAACACAATAATGTGACAAATTCCAACACTTCCTTTATACAAAAAACACACTTGAAAAGGTGTCATGATAAATTAAAATAAA